ATCTATCTATCTATCTATCTATCTATCTATCTATCTATCTATCTATCATCTATCTATCTATCTAATCTGTATATCTATCTAAGAGCAGTGGTGGCTTAGTGGTTATGCAGTGGTTATGCAGAATTGCAGACTAATTCTGCCGACTGCCAGGTGTTCGATCCTCACTGGCTCAAGGTTGACTCAGCCTTCCATCCTTGTGGGGTGGGTAAAATGGGGACCCAGATGGTTGAGGGAAAAAGGCTGACTCTGCAAGCCGCTTAAAGAAGGCTGTAAAGCACTGTAAAGCAGTATATAAGTCTAAGTGCTATTGCTATTATTTTATTAATCTTACGTGCTCTGTTACTCTATAACCAAAATAAAGTACTTTGCCAAAACACTTGCACTTTGCAAATATTTCACACATTTTGCAAATAATGACAATAATGCTAATACTATGTGAAACCTGTACACTTCCTGATTCTCAACAATGCTGGGCTGCTGACTTCAGACAAGAGATCAGAACAAAATCAATCAAACATGAAGAGGAAAGATAAAAGCTGGCAGGTGGGATGGAGAAGATAAGCCTCCCACTCCCCCGGGGAAGCCCTGGGTCGAGAGCCAGGTCTTCACAGCTCTTCTAAACAACATGGGAGGGGGGCATCCAGATTTGGGGGGGGGACCTTATTTCAGAGGGCATTTCATACATTTTACAGATACTTCACACATCCCACCTACCCCACACACTCACCACCATCGCAAAGCTGGAACTCAACCTACGGAACAAACCCTCCAAGCTTAAAAGCCCTTTTAGATTTTTAGGGTCCCAAGTAATTCAGGGTAGTGCAAAGAGACAGACGTGCACAAAAGAAAAAAGAAGGAATCATAACTGCAGGAGCTATTTGATACTCAATTCAACAAGCCTAATTTCTCTGTTCTTCTATTTTGGCTGGAATCCTCCAGTGCTGTAAACGATGAATCGACCCCAGACCGCCAGAGTCAGTTCATTTGGACAGTTACCTGCAACCCAACTGGTCCTGGAAGGCCAATAAATCCTCTTGATCCTTCATCGCCCTTCTGTCCGAAAAGCCCCTGTTGTCCTCGTGGGCCGGGCTCCCCATCAGCTCCCTTGGAAGGAGAAAGAAAAGTTTACAGCGAAAGGCAGATTAAACGCTGAATTCCATGCAGAAGGAAGACCGAGCTCTCTAATATGCATTAGGCCATCAAAGGTTATAGCCATACAGGCATCCATCCAGGAATTTAAGGAACTCAATTCTACAGAGCTTGCAGAGTTCCTTAAACCAAGCAATTCAACTTGATGGGGCTTTTATTTGAAAAGTTTGATCTATTTACGCTCCCAGAGCTACACACTGCAGTTAAAAGGATATATAATAAACAGTGGGAAAACCTAAAAGGAAATGAGGCACAGGCAGAACCTTTCCTTTTTAGTTCTGATTCAGATTAACAGAATTGGAAGGGACCTTGTAGGTCATCTAGTCCAACCCCCCCATCCAAGCAGGAGACCTTACATCTTTGCTGACAGTTGGCAGTCCAGTCTCTTCTTGAAAGCTTCCAGTGATGAAACTCCCGCAACTTCTGAAGGCAATTTCTGTTCCTTTGGTTAAATGTTCTCACTGTCAGAAAATTCCTCCTTATTTCCAGGTTGAATCTCTCCTTGTTCAGTTTCCATCCATTGTTCCTTGTCTGACCTTCGGGTGCCTTGGAAAACAGGCTGACTGCTTCCTCTCTGTGGCAGCCCCTCAAATATTGGAAGACCGCTATCCTGCCTCCCCTGGCCCTTCTCTTCCCTAGGCTGGCCCTGCTTTTCTCTTCCTTCCTCCTGCTCCCTCTAAAGCCATGGGCTGATGGACCTTCTAGCTTATATTTTAAATACAGAGAAGGTTTATATACAGAAGTATTACTTACTGCTAGACCTGGTTGGCCAACTGGGCCCTGTGGACCAATAGGACCTGGTGGACCCTAAGAAGGAACAAAGAAATGGCAAAACAGTTGAAATCAATCTTAGGAGACCAATGCAATGTGGAATGATGCTCTCAAGCCCCATTGATATCTGGCTGAATTTGGCTGAATATGCCCCCTTCCCTCGGATTCTGCCAGAGTCCTCCAACCACAGTGATGGATGGATGCTCAGCGGGGAGGGCTACAATATGGACCCTTGCCATTCAAAATCTTACTGAAGAAGAAGTAAAGAGGTGCATCCCAACATGTATCTTTTATGGGGTGACTGCCTCATTTTGTTTGGAAGTGGTGGGATGGACTCCACTACCATGTTAAGATTGGTGTGGCTACTCTCATTCCTGGAGCCTCTGGGCCACCCTGAGGATGGAGAGGCTGGAAAAGGAAACGTTGAGTCATGAATGCTCACACCAGAGCAGCTCCGAATTCATAGCTGCCCATGAGAATTGGTAGAAAGGGGGTGCTGGGAGGGGAGAAACATCCTTCCTTGCCTCCACGTGGGAAAGTCACAGCTCACCTGTTCTCCCTTGTCCCCTCTGCTTCCTTTCTGTCCTGGTTCACCAATTTCACCCTAATAAATGGAGAATACCATTCTGTAACACAAGCAGGACTGTCACACACAACAAGCAACGAGAGCCCACTAAGAAAGGAAGGAAGTTCCTGGATCTGCTCCGCGTCTTATACATTCTTAACAAATTAATAATGTTTGTTAGTTTGGTCTGATCTTTAAAAAATGAAGAATGAATCCATTCCCAGGTAGATTTTATTTTTCAGGTTTTCCAAGCTGCACTGCTGGGGGAAAAAAACATTGTAGAATTAAAATCATTTTGGAGTGTTGGGAAATTTCTTGGAAGAAACCCACGCGTGAAACATGACCAGCGTTGCAGAAATTGCAGCACAGTATGCTGGCTTGACAGCCGCGGATAGAAAGACACTACAGAGGGTGGTGAGCACAGCACAAAACATCGTGGGCTGTTCCCTGGTACCACTGGATGACCTCACTGGGACTCACTGCCTTAGAAGAGCGAGGAAAATCCTCAGGGATGACTCAGACCCCGGTCAGCCCTTCTCCGCTCTCCTACTATCGGGTGGGAGGTAGAGAAGCAGAGCCAGCCGCACCAACAGGCTGAAGAACAGTTTCTACCTGTGGTCTGTCAGACTCCCGGATGGAAAATAATTTCATGTCAACATCGTATGAAAGACTTGCAGGGCTGGCCCGTTGTGCAATGTGTAAATAAGATTGGGACTGGGTTAGGGACTCCTCACTGTGAGTTGTGTTGCGGGGGCTGCACGAAGGGAGGCTCAGCCAATCTCATTGTACACATGTTGCACTCTGACCATAAAGGTAATAATAATAATACAATTCAGAAGAATTTTAAAATGGTACCTGAACAACGTTTCTGCTTTTGTTTAAAAAAAAGCCTCCCTAACACTAAGAGCAGCTGCACCCCAAGAAAGGCCTCAAGGGGTGACTGGACAAGCCATTCCTCCACAGGGCTTGGACTCCCAATTCCTGCCATTGCCACAGCCTCACAATTAATGGCCCCAGGAGCCCCTGTCAACTCCGGGGGGCTGAATTCTCTTCCCATCAGCTCCCGAATAGGTAAAACTGCTTTTACACCCCGTGGCAGGACATTCGGCGAGGCCACGGGGTAACCACTGAGCAGATTTGGGTCCAATACGTGCAAGGCCACCTTGCATTTGGGTAGTTTTCTGTTTATGGACAGACTTTGGATCCTCAGCTGCCCTTAGGAAAAGGCAGTTTCACTTGGAGGGAGAACTGTTCCCCTCTTAAGATACCCCAAATCCTCTTCTTCCTACAGTATTCCTCCTGCAGGTGCTGAGTCGGCTGCCTCTCCGGCAACGTGGCTTGCCTGTCTTTGCTGAGGGTGTCTCGCCATCGCTGTTTTGGATGCCCGTAAGGTCACCAGCCACTGACTTCTACTTGGTGGGCAGTCTTGGCCACGGTGGGAGGTGCTGCTCTCTGGACATGTCCATCCCAACGGAGCCGGCCTTCCCTCATCTTCTCTCATCTAGTGGTGCCCCCACCAAAATGCGATCGAACGGCGTGGCCCAGAAGGGAGGTGCCCAATATCCAACGGATCCTTCGCCTTTCCATGGCACGGAGAGAGCTTGTGGTCCCTCTTGTTGCTGCCCAGCCTTCAGGGCCATGCAGGGTGACCGGCTGGAAAGGAGTCTTGTAGATCTTAAGGTTTAAGGCGGGTTGGCGTTCGCCTGTCCCATAACACCCCGATGCATCCAGGCTGCCTTCACCCTTGCTCGCCCCTCGCCGTTGAGGTTGCCATTGCCTTCGAGGTGGGATCCCAGGTACCCAAAAACTTGAGATACCCCAAATATGGAGAGAGAAAGATATGCAGCCGATTCTGAAGTTGGCACGGTTTTCATTGCCTACCATTCGAAAGCCTTGGATGAAAAGCATCTCGGTGCCAGGGGTTTTTGCCACCCTACATGCAAAGCAACCCAACCAAAGGAAGAAAGCCAGAAGGTCTGCCTGGCATGGAAGATGCCTACCTTGTCTCCATCTTCCCCTGGGGGGCCAACTGGGCCGGCAGGACCCGGAAGCCCAACTGGTCCCTGGATGCCGTCTCGTCCAGCTGGGCCTTGAGGGCCTTTTTCACCCTAAGCCCAAAGGGAAAAAAATCAAAAGTCTTCTCAGCCATAACCCTGAAGCCATTGGTCATTTCTCAGGACAGGCCGTATTTCTTGGGATAGTATGGGAATTGTGAGTGGCACAAACAAGAAAACTATGGGCAGGGGGGGATGAAGGCAAGGCGGTATTTAGACAGTTTGGACCGGTTCTAGAGAACTGGTAGTGGAAATTTTGACCAGTTCAGAGAATTGGCAAATACCCCCTCTGGCCCCGTCCCCTCGTCCCCGCCTTTTCCTATCCTATATTCCATTGGTTTTTACCTCAGCTGATTCGCGCAGCAGAATGGATTCCTGTGCCTCAGCTGAGCAAAAAACAGTTCACCTCACCTTTGAGTTCTGTGCAAGCACGCAAAGTGATCTTTGAGTGCAGCGCACATGCGCACACAAATCGCACAGAACCAGTAGCGCAATTTGGAATCCCACCACTGGATGAAGGCTCTGCCTCGTGGCCTGACTGCAATAAACACGGTTTCCATTTGGCCGAAGGAAGCCGCCTTAAAACACAGCCCAGGCTGAGCCCTGAGACCGAGAGACTTATGGCAGGACACATTTCCTCTGCCAGATCTGGAGGTTGTGATCGTTGCACGCAAAGCGGTTGGGCTTTCATTACATCCCCTTCTTTCCAGAAGGTCTTCCGGGCTCAATCCCTGCCCCCTCCAGTGCTCCAGGAATTCAGGAAAGAGAGAGGTGGGTCAGGAGACGCTACTGGGGACTGATCCCACATCAGCCCTCCTGGGCAAGCCAGAAGGAAACAGGAACAGGTGAGCTAATTCCAGGTGACTAAATCTGGAGGGCTCCAAATTTGAAGGCCTCATCTAGGCAGGAAGCCCATATCTGGGTGGCATAAATAAGATCAGAAAGAATTTAACATCAATCCTGGTGGATATTTTAATCCGTTTTCCTGCTGACATCCCTTCACATTATTTCAATAAGTGTATGGTCAGCCCTCCCAGCTAAACTAGACAGGAAACGCAACCAGATGAGCTAATTCTACCTTATTGGAAAGGCTGCCTGAACAGCATTTTGCAAATCTTATCCTACAAACTTTGGGATGCTGCTTTTAACGGCTTGCTCCTTCAGGGCTGGTCCAGAGTTTCTTCCTCTGACTGGGGGGGGGGGGGGGCGCGCAGGCTCCTGACCCTCTTGTCTGAAGGATTCCTAGGCAGCCTCGTTTCCCCCACAGCCAGGACTTGGCCAATGGCAAGGGGACCAGGACGCCGAGGCAAAAATATTTATGGGTGGCAGAAGGACGTGCAATCTGGGGAGGTGCGTGCAAGAAAAGATACATCTAAGGGGAGAAGTCAAAGCAGCCTTGCCAAGTCAACTGTTGCATCTGCTCCAGTTGATGCTTAGGACTCTCCCTCTCTCTCCTTTCTCTCTCTCTTTCTCTCTCTCTCCCTCTC